AATAAACAGAATGCTTGTTGATATTTTGTGGCAGCCAATGAAGCAAACAACTTTCTGTCCATCCGTTTGTCTTCTGTGTGTCCATAGCATCCGATGGCCTGCAGCGGAATCGGTAAAATCAACAAGAACCTCCGGGTCCCCAGCCAAATGCCAAATGGTTTGGAGCACGGAGTGCTCGACTTGTTCTAAAAGCTGCTTCCATCTACCGCATAATTGCAAACAAAAGCGGAAAATATGTGTGCCAATCGGTCGGTAGCGAATCCGATGCGAATCCACAGCTCAATCTCAACAGGAATTTGAGCTGAGTAGTGAGTTATCACGTTTCACTTGGTACCTTATAAGCCTCATGCCACAAATCGGAGCACTGGAAAATCGCACCTCTTCAACGTAACCGGGAAGTTATCAAAGATTACTGAGTGTCAGGTGGCAATTCACTGGAAAAACAGAGGGCTTAGAGCAATGACAAAATAAAATATAAAGTCTTTGATATTCTCTTTGCTTTAAAATTGAACATGATTTCGTTATGTTAATATGTTAATCTATTCCAGTGATGTTCGTTTTCTAGCACAACCATTTCATTATTATTAATATATTTAATATCGATACCTAAGGCATTTTTATAAACGTATAAAAATATAAAGTGTGGTAAAAATCATAAAAACAATGTTCTCTAAGGATTATGCTGGAAGGATTTATATTAAATAAATGATATGTATTACATATGTCAACTAAAAATAAAGAGAAATATGATTATAACAAAGATCTATCTACGTTTACATAAAGGCAGACAACTACTACATATCACAATTCTATTTTTTTAACATTAACTAATGGTACGGTTTGAACCATTTTCAGCGTGCTGGTAAGTACTGAAAAGCGAATTAAAAAATATTTTAAGTTTGAATCCTTGAAAATGTGCGTGTCACAAACTGGTTCTGTTTGATGGAGTTAAAGTGGGCATGGCGCTCTGCAAGAATCTCTAGAATCTGCATGATTACTCCCAACTTTCTAGTTTTTATATTTAGTACGAGATCTCAGCGTTCCTGACCGAAAATATAAATACTTTATAGGTTACTTACTTTCCTTTTTCTCCACGAGTAATGGGTATAAAAATAGATTAACAAAATGAAGCATTAAAAACACTGATACATTGAAAGCACCTCTTGAACCTTGGGGACTCGGACATCCCAGAAAAACCAGATATATCGTACCCACATCAAAGCTGCGTATTTAAGCCCCCGCCAGATTGACGTCTTACCCCGTGTTCCGCAACCAATTGCCACCATTGTTGGCGACAGATTTTAGCCGCTTGTTAGTGGCTAACAGTGGCGTTCATAAATACACACACCGAGAGCTGGGTTAGGATCGAATCCTTGTCACATGCTGGGCTACACCTTGAACCCAGCAGCCCGCGTGCGATGGATATTTTTCTGCGGCATTTCCCGATTTTCCCGATATTCCCGCTTTCCCAACAAAGCAACGTTTACGGCAGCAACCGCAGCACCGGGCACAAGGTAACCAGCACACACAGCCCGGGTAAACCATATAAATAAACAAAGCTCTGGCCGTCGTCCTTCGTCCTTCGTCCTGCGTCCCCCTACGCACTTTGTCGTAGAGCGAGAAACGAGAGGCAAACTGTCGAAACTGTCAGGATGTCAAATAAGCGACAGTGGGTGGCAGACAGCAGGAAGAGCGGTGGCTCCGAGTTCAAACCCGACCAGAACAGGACTGAACAGTGCAGAACGGAACCAAATAGGGCCAGAACCAGCGGCAGTATCAGGATCAGGAGAAGGTCCACGACCACCCTAGGCATATTTATTGGAAATCTGAAACAGCTCGAATGTCTACACTGGGGAAAATGATATATACCACTTTATTCCTTAAAAAGCATTACTTGACCCTAGGTATTCTACAAATATTAAGCAATTTATAAGAATTATCCCTTAGTACATGAAATAGAATGTTAGGAAGTATTATAATAAAACCCAATAAATCATATATCAATCCAATAAAGTAAACAAACTTTTATTGAAACTAATGGAACTATAACAAATATTAGATAAAATAAACAACACGAATTCATTTCTTTTATATAAAGAATATTTTTAAAATATTTTATTTTTTCAAGATCATTATTATTATCATTATAAGCAAATATTGATATTAATATATTTTTAAAATCAATTTTACAGATCTATATCTGTGCATAAAATTTGTTAATCAATATTTTTTATAAACTAGGCTCTACCCATTAGTAGTATTTTCCTAGTTATCTGAATATTAAGTGGCTTAATATATTTTTCCGAGTGCCCTTTTCCACCCACTCCAGTGGGAGCCACTCCTGACCATGTATCCATGTCCGGCATCAGGCACAAAGAATTTGTTACATGAAATTGTTAACGGGCTGAAGCCGATGCCTCGACTCGACTGCGTTTGATGCCTTTTGCTGATATATGGCCAACCTTTGACATCCTTTAAACGAGCAACATGATGCTCTAGATTATGGCCAGGAGATTGGCTCGAATTTTCCCAGTTGGCTCCTCGGCTTGCCCGGATTGTCTCACTTGGGCGATACGTCAATGTGACAGTTTGATAATTTATTTCGTTCAAATTTTGTTTTTCGCTCGCTTTGAGGGGAAAGCGCTTAAATAAGTTATCAACGGGGACCGAGGGCCATGTAAATGGCAGCACGTAAATGAATGAAATTATTTTGCAACAAATTAAGGCAAATTTATGCGTGAAGACACGACAGGACAGGGGGATTCGAGATGGGCCGGCGATGGGATCCGGGAATCCTTGTAACAGGAAACACAATCCACAAGCAAATAAACAAAAGCGAAAACGGAACGAAACGAAACGAAACGAGACGAAACCAACAAACAAACAAACAATGAAACGAAAAACGGCAGCCGCCAAGAGTGAAAAGCGAAGAGTTTTCCTTCAGCGAAATCTGAGCAAGGCTTTGTGCAACAAAGTGAAGAGCCCTGCTGCCCTCTTTTCCGCTTTTACCCCACAAAATGGGGCTAACTGGGTCCGCTCTGCACTCGTTCACATCCAGATATATATATATATACTTTTTATTTCCCAGCCTCACTCGACGAATCAAATGTCAATAGAGAGTACATTTCATTCAGCCGGGTGATGCTTTTCCGCCCCACAACACCCACTTTTCAGTTCCCGCATTGTAGCTGTCACAGTGTTTGTTTGCGGATTTGAAGCTTTTTCCTCTTGGCAACGCGTTTTTTACCACGCCTGCCACTGTCCTTCAAGGGAAGGAGTTGCCCAACTCATGGGAACTGCTTGCAACACCTTGGGATCAATGGGAAACACTAGACATATCTATAAAAATAAGAAATGTCAAATAACAATAGATCAATTTCTTTTCAGACTTAACAATTTTGTTATCTTACTTTTAAGTGGATTTAAGGTATATCAGCCAATTCTGTTTTCATGTTGGTCATACAATACAATATATTTTAATGCTCAACCTAGCACTTTAAGTAATCTTTTTATTTTATTAATAAATGTTTTTAAATAAATCCTTATCACTTAAAGAATGTATTAAATAGCCAGGGCATAAGCTGTAAGTTAGGTAAGTTCATTGGTAGAAGTGGCTTTTCGTGTATACTTTTTCTTAAGTAAATTATTTATTTATAATGTTTATCCTTTGTGGGACTGAGAGCATCTGAAGTTCGATGGCATCTTTAAAGATCTCTAATCTGCTTTCTGCTTCTGATGCTGGTTTTATTTTCAAGCATTTCCTCGACACTGTCCGCCCCCCTTTGCCCACCCATCGACTGAGATGCCTTGGATTTCCTTTTTATTTGCACGGAAATGTATAATTTTTCCGAGTCAAATGTAAATACTTTTAGCGTATTTTTGTGGGCTTCATTGGGTGGTTTGCTCGCCTTGAATTTTTGGGGTCTGGAGCCGGGGGCGTGGCACATGCAAATGACACGCCTGATGCTGCGTAAATAATTTTAGCGCTTTCTCTTTTGGCATAAAATGCAAAATAAACATTTTATTCTTGGCAGAATTTCTTCTTCGAATGTGGGTCAAATGGTGTGTCCAAAAAAGACACTTCTGTCCCAAAAACCAGATGCCGGAAATACGGTATAATTGTATGCGTATTGGCTGCGGTTCCGTTTGAGTTGGTGGAATTGTCACGTTTCAACAGCTCAATTTTCGGTTTTGGCGATACGCGAAGAAAACTTTTCGATCCAATTAAATTCATCGAAAGCCGAAATCTAGATTTGACAATTTATGCATCCTTGTGAGACGCCGCTGGCATATTTATATTCCCATCGATGGCTAGACAATGACGCCTGCGGACCAATAAATAACGCTCCCTTTTGACACAATCGAAATTGGCTGGAAAACAAATTTCTTTGGGCGAGATGTGGCCTTTTTTTGGTGTCATCTCGCACCAAAGGTCAAACACTTAACCCGTGTTGTGGCAAAAAATGTGACATCGAATTATGGAATGTAAGCGAATCTCCGCCGTTATCGAAAAAAATCAAGTATCCATGGGCCCAGACAGAAAACAAATTTTGGGTTCAATGGGAAGCCATGTGGGGCATGTAATAAATTAAAATGAAATGAGATTTACAGATATTTTAAATGTATAAGGCTTCGAGTTCAAATGTTTTAATTGTGATATGTGATACATTGTTCGGTTCTCAACTTTACAATGTACATTTAAATAAATTTAATAGTAAATCTTTGTTTCGGACTGTAAAATCAATTTCGATCTTTGAAGTCTCTAGTCCTAGAAGTTTGAATCTTAACAAATGTACATTCACAGAAAAATAATTAATATGCCAATATTAAAGTTCTTTAGAAATTATTAATACCAATCTACAGAAACTCATTGAAAACCTGGTGTTTTCCCACAAGCTGTAATATATTTTTGAGTTCTATTTTGATCTAGTTTACCGAGACTACGAAACATCAAACTTTAAAATGGAATTGAGCCTGAGAAATCATTCCATACTCAGACTCGCACCGATCAACTTTCCAAATATCTTAAAAATACTTGATAATAACAATTTTAAAAATAAGTTAATGTTTGCTGGTTTTAGACACTAAATATAATCACAAGTCATGACGGCTAAGAAAGCAACGTTTGACCTGATGAACCTGGGATATCCCGTTCACTCGGATCCGTACGAAATAGATCGTGAATCGTCATCGTCGTCGCAAAGGGCACCCAGCGAGACTGTGATGTCCTTTAAGGAGCTAAAGGAAAAACTGCACAAGGAGGCGAAGAACATGATGCCGGACTTTTTCCCGAGGGATCCATCCTCCACTTCTGAAGACAGCGATGATTGCGATTTTCCGGAGACTGTAAAAGAACGAGCACGCCGCATTTCCTTTGTCCGTCGCCGGAAGTTGCACTACAATGAGTTCACAACCGTCGAGTTGGCCCGGCGACTGATCCACGAGGAGTTCAACATGTCATCGGAGAGTCTTCATAGCGAGGAAAAAGATTACATGGAGGAAATCGTCCAGGAGGAGTGTGCTCCCTGCGACGGCGACTCCGACGAATCGTATCCCTATATCCAGTACGATCGCCTTACCACCCAGTCTCAAATTTCCGACGAGAGTGTGCCGAAAGAGGATCCCGAGCCGGGATTCCAACCCACACATCATTGCTACGATAAGCTAATAAATGAAATTGTCGAACAGCCAGTAGCGGATATCCCCAAGGAAGTGGTTCCCATACCAGAGCCCAAGGCACCTACACCTCCAGCACCGTCCCCACCGCCAGCACCGGTGGAAGTGGAAGTCGTTGAAGAAATTGATCCGGAGGTGGGGTCTCAGGCTAGAACTTCGCAGGAGAAACGTACTCGGGTCATTGACCGCGGCGAACATATAGACCTTAGTGCCAATAACACCGTTCCAAAGAGCACTCGTTCAAAGGCAGTGAAGAGATCTCCTGAGCGTAAATCTCGCAATTTATAAACTAATCTTCATTCACAAGAATCCTCTTTGATGGGATATGCCGTATCATTGAGGTACCAAGCTAGAAAAACTGATCCTTAAACCATATTCATGAGAAAACATTACTGTTTATCTTAAATATATAATGCTTACCGAAATAAATGGCTATGTTAAAAAAGCAGTTGACTTAAGGCAAAAACGGCTAAAATATTTAAAGTTGTAGTACTTTAATAACATAAAGGATGCCAAAGCTTCCAGTTAAATAAACCCATTCGCGCCAACGCATCCAAGCTAATTTAGACACCAAATAACGGTAATCGCCTCTGATCTCAAACGACTCCATTTAACGTTTTCCTTCCCAGCACAGCTTAAAAAATATAGTTTTCTCAACCCGGAGACCGCACAATTATTTGGGCCATAAAGGCTCAAACCCACACAAGCGCACACATAAGAGGACGAAGGACATTCAAAGGGATAACTAGTGTGCTAGAACGATAATGACACCTAACGGTTTCCTTGCCCAGGATTGTGTGGACGAAAGGAGAAAGCAAGGGAGAAAGCTAGAGAAAAGGGAGTAAAAGGACAATGTATAGAAATTATTTTAAAAAGCTAGTGCGCAACGTTATCACTTGTTTGTGTATGTGAAAATTCATTAATGCTTATGTCCTTGTTTTATGTGATTATATTAGATATGTCCAATATAGCAAAATAAATTAAAAAATTAATAAACTATATTAACCATTAATATTTGGTAGTATTTTAATCAAAAGACACTGGGTAAAATGAAGAACAAAAATTATATATTTATAAATTGAGTTTTGTTTGCAATGCCTATCCGTAAAATATTTAACTCATTCGGTCATGAAATTAAGCTTCCAGGAAGTGCCAATTTCAATTCTCATATTTAAAATGAAAACTTTGTTTGGTTTCCCTATCTGTATAACCCAACTACCCATAATATTTATTTCACTTATTTCACAACGCGATTTTTTCAGCGCTTATGTTATTATACAAAAATGAACAGGCCAACATAGTTTGCGGTTTTATGTATGTGAATGTTTTTGTTTCTTTTGGAATATTTTAATTACAAAAGTGTATTCCAACTCGTTGTTTTATTTTTAACATTTTGTGGGCCATGCTTTCGCTTTCGTTTCGGTACACAGTTTTTGTTCTATATTTATATTTGCTGTTATACTTTTGTTTAAGCTTAAAGTAAAAGAGAAGTCTTTTTGCATAAATTAAAAATAGTATATCTGATAAAATTAAATTTTAAAACCGTATTTGTATTGATTAATTTTTAAAATTTGATATTTAATTCCAACTCCCGTCAAAGCTGCCATAATAACATTGATGAGCTGGCAATGAAATTGTCATTATTAAACACATATTCATTTGACTCCATCTTAATAAAATGAGCAGCTGAGTCGTCGCGGCGTCGGATTTTTGCTAATTTAACGTTCCTTTTGGCCATGAAATGGGAATAAATATCACGTCATTCGATCTGCCCCAAAAATCCCCGTTCAGCTAATGAAGACTTTGTCGTCTGAGAAGGATAAAGCTGAAATTGTCTAGACATTCTCGGTTGCTTGAACCCCTCGGCTGTGGTTGCAGTCCCAGCTGCCCGTCGTCTCAAGTTCAAAAACACAGCAAAGAGATTCAATCCCTACTTTAGTACATTGCTGGGGCTTTTATGACATTTAATTGCCGTTTGCTTTTAGTCCACACACACCCTTCTACACCAAAGTGGGTTTTACTGGGGGATATAAGGGTTAATTGCCTTTCAGAGGACATCAGGGACAGTTGTTGACCTTTCCTGATTTAGTTACTTGGATAAAGATATATATAAAGGTATAAAAAGATCAGCAGCTTAATATGTCTTACATTAAATTGTTTGAATAAATTATTTTAAGAATAAAAATTATTCTTCGAAATTTTTATTTTTGAAGAAACCCTCCATTTTGAATTTATTATTATAATATACAACTTAATTTAATTTGTTTGACCATTCTTACAATGTCAAATGAACACATTTGAACATAGTCAACTCAAGTATTTATATAAAATTTATTAGAGGGTATATCAAAGTGTCATTTCCAGTAAACAGTTTGTGCTAATTTTTTTTGGAGGCCCACAAAGTCACACGTCATGCCGGCGAATCAAGTGGAGTGGCTTCGAAGTGCCTGGTCCTAATCATCATCCAAACATTGTGGCCAGTCATCGTGACTTATGTCAACCCGATCAAGTATGTCCTTGTCCTTGTATGTGTAAGCTTTCAAGTTACCAGGATACAAAGCAATTGTCCATTGCAATCGGCGGCATTTGGAGGACCCTTTTGGACTGGATGTCCTCCGAGGGGAGTGAACCGCATTCGACGTTCGTCAATGGCAATCGAAGTTTCTGATGGTTGTCTATGGGCAATCAAGCATGCAATGAGTTCCGGGGTCTCTCTTACAATTGAAGTGGTTTAATGGAGATTTGTTGCAATTTAGGAAACTAGTTTAAAGTAGCGCCAAATAAAGAATTTAAAACTCATCAAACATATTTATAACGATTATAATAGCAAGGATTATAATATAGATATTTTGTAGTAACGAAATCATAGCAGCAAGGCGAGTCCTCCTTATGTCAGCCTGATTGATTGATTGATTTACCCCATTTGTTAGCACTTAAGGGACAGTTTACCCTTTTGACCAACCGCCATCGAGCGTGAAGCTGTCAAATTGGGGGCCATCGTTTTGGGATCGGGGGGCGGAACGGAACAAACGGAACGTTATCCATAAAATATGACTTTAAGCCGGGCGTCACGTGCCATGAGTGTTGACCCCAAAAGGAAACCGAAAATCATAACTCAATGTCGAGCTAACCAAGTGCAAAGCGCGAAATTAGTTTACACTTGAACCCTGTGCCATGTTTTTCGACCACCTGTCCACCTTCTTGATTTTTCCACCACCACCCACCAGCCACCAACATTTTCCACCCACCCACTTTTTTGGGGCCTTCTTTTTGCTGCAGTTGCCGTTGCAGTCGCATTCGTGTTCATGCATAAACAAAATGGCTGCTGCAACAACCGGAAACTGACAGCAAACGACATTTGCGATATGCATCATATGTCTCCTCGCTTTTCCCGCCACCTCGCCCCCGCTTTTCCGCTGTCATTTTCGGTGATGCGGGGTTGGGGGACCGGAGGGGAGTCAGCTACTTGGCATATTTCTGTCGTGTCATTGTTCCTTGTGCGTTATTTTTTTGCAGCTGCTCCCGCTCCCGAACCTCCTGTGCCCCGGGAAACCCCCATTTCCCCAACACCCCCCGACTTCTCGCTGTCTGCGACTGTTAGCCTTGCAGGTGCAATTATGACGGCGGGCATCGCATCGGTGTCTCTCTCGTGGAAAACTGGCAGGGGGTGGTGGTGCTGATGGGGCGGAAAAACAAGAGACTTTCAGTGTGTTGGTGTGTTGTTGTGTTGGTGTGCTGGTGTGTGGCAGTGTCAGCGACACATAAACATTACATCATCAGGCAACTTTTTGTAACTGTCATAAAATGCCAGCAACAGCAAACAGAGAAGGCCTCTCACGGCTCATCAGTTAGCAAATGGATACCCTATGGCACTGGAATTGTTCCAAGAAATATCTTAAATAAATGCAAGTGGTTTTGTTTGGAGTGGGAAACGCTTATACAATCGCAAGATGCATTTTCCCACTTTTTTGACAATGGTGATGGAAAAAACTTTATCATATCAATTATATATAACTTTAATGTTTTTGAATTTTAAGACTTAATGTTTTAAACTATTTTATTATAGAGTATTTCTAAATGGGAAAGCAAAAAGACAAAACACTAAAATGGCATGAAACAAATGAAAGTTGAATGAAACTACATAGCGGCAAGAAGAGCAGTGCACATATGACTAAGAATACAGGGATAACTTATAAATGTAGATAATACTTATTATAAAAATGTTGAAAAGGATCTTAAAAAATATCATGAAATACTAGGAATTATTAAAGGTTTTCTTTTTAATTTTAGTTATAAAATGAATAACCCAACAAAATAACTTAAAACAAATTGGATACTTTTGGGAGGACCTTAAACTTTAGAATTCCTTATGTACTTTAGTCTGGTAATAGCAAAGTAGCTTTCAGCGAGACACCACTGTACTGTTGAGTTCGTGCCACTGTTGTTCCAATTTCTGTAGCTTCTTTTGACGCTTCCACTGCTGCTGTTGCTGCATTTCCGGCTGCTGCTTCTGCTAAGCCGGCGTAGTAAATCCTTAAGCACCCTGCCACCCCTAACCCCCTTCGTCCATGGCTCCCCCCCTCCGCCCCCTTCCATGACATGGCTCTAATGAGCTGTGTATGTGTGTGTGTGTGGGGAAATGTTGCATTGTTGTCGACGTTTCAGCTGGCATATGATGCTTGTTAGTGAGTTTTTCTCATCCCTGTTTCGCTTCTTTCGCTAGATGCCCCTTTCCACGGAAAAGTGTGTGATCCTCCGGTCTGGGTTGAAATATTTTCATGAGTTTTGACAGTAATGTGTCGCAATGCTTGTCTCACTGCCTTTTTGCAGCGCCATCTAGCGACGGAATGTCCGGAAGAAGTCAGCTGTATCTAGAAGGAAAGAGATAGATAAGAGGATGCTTCCGTTTTCAGTTTCTTAATTTAGTTATTTCAAAATTTTTAAAGAATAACACAGTACAAATGAATTTTTAGTTTATTATTATGAGGAAATAGGCATAAATAGTTGCATGTTTTTTGGGAATTTACATTCCAAGAAAGCACTATTAATTAGTTGTGGTCTAGCTGAGCCTTCAAAAGTTTAATAATTTATATAAGCCCTATCTTTAAAATCGTGGAAATCATTTGAAAATTAAAAATTTGTATATATTCCAAGTAAGCACTTATACCTAGTTCTGGTCTAGCTGAGCCTTAAAAGGTTAAATACTTTATATAAGCTCTACCTTTAAAAACGTGGAAGTCATTTGAAAATTGGAACACCATTCATATGGGCTACACACAAAGAATGCAGATCTAGAGGACGTAGATAGGGACATTAACAATAATATGTTCCTAATTGCTATATTATATATTTAAAATAAGACCATATAATAAGTGCTACCCTTGAAAAGTTTCTTACTTTATAAAGTCTCTGCGCTTAAAAACGTGGAAATCATGTGGAAATTTGAACACCATTCATAGGGGCTACACACACAGAAAGCAGAGCTATAGGACGTAGATAGGGACATTAGTAATTGTATTTTCTTATTTGGTATATTGTATATTTATAATAATACCGTATAATTAGATTATATAAGTTTGATTTGTACTTTAAATAGGTCCCGTTTTTAAAAGCGTGGAAATTATGTGAAAATTGGAACACCATTCATAGGGGCTACACACACAAAATGCAGAGCTAGAGGACGTAGATAGGGACATTAGTGGAGCAGTGTGGAGGCAGTGCTAGAATCCCGCTGCTCGTCGCGAGTGTTTAAGCGTTGATTACACTTTCGTGTTTTGGCGTTGCTTGTCACTTGTCTCTTGTTCCTGTACAAGTTACTCCGCTCCATTGTTTTTCCGGCTGTTGTTGCTCTAGTTGGTAGTTGTTCATTTGCCACATCTG